TGCACTGTAATGTCAAATGAGATTGTTTCTTGTAAAAACAGGACAGAAAAACAACATGTGCTCAATGAGGAGGGCAAGGCAAGACAGTGGATCATTGATGTGAGGATCACTCATTAAAAGATCAATTTTTATTTTTTTCATTACTACTTTGGCCTAAACAAAGGGTATGTCACAGAAAATATCCATGTATACCAACTCAACAGCTCAGTAATATCTATATTTAAAATCATTAATAATACACACACATATCTGAGATAAAGGCAGAGAGCTTGTGTATTACCTTGGAGCATGTAATAGTTTTATTGTATGCAAGCTGCTTGAGCTGCAGTTAGTGTAATGTATATTAGCTTTCTTATTAGCTTTATTAGTGTTTGTTTTGAAAATCAGTCTTTATTACTCTTAGGAAATGTTTTTGTTGTCTTTTATGAACATGGAGCACTAGGCAGAGTGCTAAGAAGACAAACAAATATAAGCACGGTCATGCGCATTGTGTCCGTCAGGGGAAATAGAGAATGAGATGGTGAACTGCTGCCTGCATGCCATCCACTTTGTACTGGATAGACCGCATTAATTATTTAACAGCAAGGCTGCTAGCTATTATTACAGAAAAACAGTGGACTGCATCTGGACCCTTTCCTGACGTTTCTATGTCAAATACACACCTTGCCCTTGTGGGCACACCAAACCGCTGTGGAGCATGCATCTTAAAACAAGGGCATGTACGAGGCATGGCGCAAAACTCGCTGTCTGCTTTGTTAACAGTTTAATCACATGAGGTGCAGTATGTCTGAATGAGACAGTAAAAGCGAAGCACTTTGTGGTGTGAGGGCCCCACCGCTACAGAAATATGCATGCCTCTGTGAAGGGTGCTCACCTGTGTTTTTGCATGTCTAAGTATGAGTGAGCCAGACAGGTGTACAACAAACGCCTGTTTAAAAGAAGCAGGAGAACTGATTGGGGCGGGGGGGAAGCTGCACGGATTTGTTTGCCATGACTGTACAGGCTCCTTACGATCAGTCCGTCCTGCCTAGATGGGCATTTCTGTTATTCACTCAGAGGTTATGGTTTTAGATTGAGGGCAAAGCTTTCCAGCCTCCGGACTGTTTTGAAGGAATCCATTGTCAATAGAGATGCAGTGGGGCTAGGATTGTTTGCAGAGTTAATAGTAGTTTGATGATGTCTTTCTCAGTGACCTGAAGAGAAATTGACCCCTGTTGTGTGAGTATTTCTAAAATGTCACCCGCACAATTATGGTTGGAGTGTCCCTGGGCTGTTGTATGTAGGGCTTGTTTTATCTGAGACTGAGTCGTCCTCACAAAAATACACACACACACACACACACACACACACACAAAAGTACTGCTGCAGTTTAATTTGCTGACCCATACCTCTACATCTTCTGAAAACGTGTTCCTTGAATGTCAGTAGAAATTAGGTTCCCCGTGGTGAGGATGAAATAATTTATTCATCATCAGTGACTTAAAGTGTTTCAACACGAACCTTTTACAGATACAGTACGTATTGGTTCTTTTTAACCACAGCAAAGTGGGATATTTTCAGCTGTGGAGTTGTATGGATACATTTGTTCATTGTACAAAAAAAAAAAATTTAAAAGGTCTCAGTTGCATTTACACATGCAGACACAGAAAAGGAAGAGATGATGTAGATATCGACAGAGGTGTCCATGACAGGGTAGAATTGCATTCATCAGTCGCTGCTGTTACTCCCGCTCGTATGTCTTGGAAGCAGCTCGTTTAAAACCTTTTTTGCTGACTTGTAAAGTTAAACTAATTTAATCCTCATGTTGTTGTTAATTAATACAGCCAGGGAAGAAAGACGAAAAAATAAAACAGAGGTTAAGGAAAAGAGAAAGAAGGGGGACAGAGGGAAGAAAGCAAATCCTCTAGAGAGATGTATAATTCATGCTCACGACTGTGGGAGAGATTTTGTATGTGTGTGTGTGTGTGTGTGGTTCCTTCTGTTCTGAACAGTGTTTTATACTGTAGGGTGATCACTGTGTATTTGCTCAATCTCTGTCCCCGTGTCTTTGGGGTTTGGATAACCAGCACACTGAACTGAGCGCAGGCCGAGACCTGAGTAAGTCACGGTTTCTCTCTTTCTGCATCTTAATTTAAACTGTGACTTCCTCTGTGTGCATGCAATGTTCACTCTAATAGGCAGGGTTAGCAGTGATTCTACGCACCCATCATTTTTCAGTTTTATTTCATTCAGTTTTTTTTATTAGGTATGTTAGAGCTATCTTTTTTTAAATCCCTGGAAAATTATTTATGAGAGGCAATAATAGAGAATCATCGTGCATGAATACTTTTGGGAATTAGCATGCATGCAAATTTTTTCTTTTATTGGTTAACTCAGTATTATTATTATTATTATTATTATTATTATTATTATTATTATTATTATTATTATATGTACTTACTTACTTATTATACTGTTACTTTATTCTGATGTCACAGATTTTAGATGTTACTGTTTAAATTTACTTTGAGTAAATTTAAAGTAACTTGCACATTAGGACTTACTGTTAGCCTCCAGCTCAAGGTAGGAACAAACATCACTCTCTTATTTAAAAGGGGGAGATTAGTTTGATTACACAGGAATGAAGACACACCTAAGTAACTGTGGACATTGAACCTTTGGGTTGTGTTCAGAGACGTGTGATCTTTCTTTCAAGGTTTTTCCGCCAGCTGCTTTGTGTGATCAGTAGCTAAACGAGTGAAAGCTGAGCTCCAAAGAAACTGACGGAATTAACTTTTTTAAGTTTGGATGTAGCGGCTGTTACGATGTGGAGAACAAACTTTAGGGCGCGGCTGCAGTCTTCACCTCATCATAAATTATAAAAGTAGAGGATTCCCATGCGTGTGAAATGGCTTTGTTCACAGTTTGTGTCACATCAGTGCATGTTCAACTAGGCAAAACAAAAGCTTTTCAATATTTTAGTGCACAGAGACCGACAGAGTGAAGAGAGACATTATTGTACTGCTGTTCCTGCCTGTCTCGTCCTTTCCTATCTGGCGTCCTGTCCTCTCCCATCCTCTGAAGTACTCTCCTCTTCTCTAAGATTACAGCACCCCCTCTCCATGTCAGACTAACTTTTGCACAGCAAGTATTGACTCACATCCATCCCTCTTCCTCATTTATCATTGCTCCCCATCTGCCCCATGTCATAAGCACCATAAGCTTCAGTGTACAGCCTTTTTTTTCTTGTGCAGTCAACTGACTTTGAAGCGTGTTAATCAAATTTCCTACAGGTACATCAAGATTTTGGGTCTCAGAGGTCCAGTAAAAATGCAGAACTGTAAAAATGATCAACAGGGGAGGGGCTATTGAACAGATGTGGAAACAGAGATTCTGAGAGTAGATTACAGAATAAGAGAACAGCTTCCCTTCACATTTATTAATATTTCATTCGTATTTGCAGTTAAGCGAGTGGGCTTTCCATCAGATCGCCAAAGTATTTTTGGTATACTTTCATTGAGTCCATCAGGGGGAAGGTTTCTACATCTCCCCACGATCCACTTTGTGTGCTTGTCCAAGGATTTGCCTGATTAGGCGCTGCCTAATTAGGTCTGACTAGGCAAGCTTTTTAGTCACATGCCATCACGCATGAGATATGATTAAAAGATAGATGGGCAGGACATTAACTGTCAACATGGAGGAACACTGCTGGTGGGACTTTCACTTCTTGGTAGTAGTGAACTCCACCCTGCTTGTCCTGATGGGAGAAAACATTGAAGCAATATTTAATTGTTTGTTTTTTGCAAAAGAGTGCAGTTGATCCTTTTGTTAAAGCAATGTCACACCTAAGGATGACAAACTGAGATTCCTTTAAATGCCTCAAAAGGCCAAGTGGGCGTCATCTTTTGATTGTGGTTTACATTTTTCTGTGTATTACTGGTTAAATATATTTCAATGACACAGTACTAGGCAAGCGTTAAGCAAACTCCTCATTTATTTATGTATTTTTTATTTAATTCAACAACATAATTTTTAGGAAATATCTACAGAAGCATTTTATCAAAGTGTACCATGAAGCAAGTCATCACAGATGCAGAGGAGCAAAGAGGGGCTCTTCAGTTCTTATGAATTAGGTCTTCCCACCGGTTGAATCTTTTCCCCCTCTGATGCAGCAACACTGCACAAAGCTGGAAAAGCAGCTAGAGCAGAGACACAGATAAGTGACAAAACAGCCGAGCGCTCAGATATTAATCGAGACATTTTAACTTTGTCATGAGAACATTTGCAAGCTGCAAGGCGCTCTGCTGATGTTTAGCCTGAGGCTGTGACAGACAGGAGGGGATGTTATGCTATCACAGCGTTTGATCACCGGCATCACGGGAACACAGGTATCAGAGAGAGACTCGTATCTCTCACAGCTGTTCAGATTCTGTCGTGGGGCTTGTTTAGATATTGGTGTAAATGGGATGAGGAAGATTTAACTTTGAAGATATGAGATTAATTTTTTTTCTTCCCCCTTCTGATCTTTTTCAAAAGCTGTGCGCTGTGAGTCTGAGCTTTTTTTTTTTGCTTTTTTAAAATGAAATAAATGGTTGAGGCAAATAAATTTGCATGACTCAACAGAAAAAATATTTTCCAGAGCTCTGTGTGTTAATAGGCTTCACAGTACAATTACTTGGCCTGTACATAATGGAAGTGCAATCAATGTATGGATCCTGCCCCCTACTGTCAATGATGGAAATGGCATCTATAATCAATTAGTGGTGACTCAATGTTAGAGGGCTGCAGGCTAACAGCGATTAACAAAAACTTTCCTTTTTGGTGGGGAAGATTTGTTGTTCATTGCTTCCAATTATCTCACATGTTACAACACACTGGGATTTGCTTTCGATATTTTGTTGCTGGTTTATTTTCAGCATGTCTGCTTCATTGTTTCAAGGAGCACAAAGCACAGATCATTTTCTTCAGTTGTAGTATTTTTATTATCAGCTCCTCGTTGTTATTTCCTCTTTCTCTCATAGAAACCCCCCCACCCTGGAACCAGTGCAGGCCTCATGTTATATGCAGGGAACACAGCAACCTCTTCTGGCCAAAAGTGAACGCAGCAGAGAGTCTGTGCTGAAGCCAGAGTATAACAAGTGAGTAACACCTATTATCACTGTTGACAGCGGTACTTGACAAAACTAGGTTTGCAGAAATTATGACGCCTCAGGAAATGAAGTGGCATTTTATTGTCAGTGCCACATTGTTGCCAAACAGTTAAGAGTTTGAAATGGAGCCACTGACTCTAACTGACATCTCATAGGAAATGTTAAAACCCCAGATGCCTGGAATCACATCTCAACAGATAACTGACTGGTAATTTGACTTGAGAAAAATCATATTATTGCCTGGGGAAGCATTAAAAAGTATTCCATGATCAATGTATCTGATTAGTTTGCTTTGACGGTACACTGGTGAGCTAATCAGGCCAAAGGGATCAATAGAGCACTTGACACTCTGTCTTTCATTCCTTCTGTCTTTGGATAACTACAATGTAAATGACTGGGTACTAAAGGAAACCCTACTGGGACGAATACTAAACTCTGCCTGTGCTGCATTGTGCACAGGGGAATCTCTGCAGACACTTAGCTGGTTCTTAATCAGTAGCGCGCAAAAAGTAGGTCCCTATTACACAGCCCTCTCTGAGTCTCTTATCATCATATTTGTCAGAGCTGCTTTATTCATTTCCAGATCAGTTTCCTCATACTGTAAACTTTCCAGCCTTCATAGCAAATCCTTGAGGTGCGATCCTTATTGTTCCTGATTGGCTCTGAACCTCTTTTTTCCGTCCTTTTCAGGCTCTGTGTTCCCGTTTCTTTCTCTGTGTCAGGCACTGAGAGCTACGAGGATACCAGATGCCGTCCCAGCCTATTTGTCTTATCCGTTTTCACAGACAAACTAATTGCTATACAAAAGGTGCTGGCGTGTCCTGTCGAGGACCCTTGTAAATGCTTTACATCCACCACTCCATTCTGCCTGCCAGTAAACTGGCTAATTATAAAAGGATCACAAAAGAGTGTGATTAGGGATACAGAAGAGGGGGAGGAGGTGCGGTCCCACACCAGTGTAAATGGAGCACCTGAAACTGTTAGCTTAACATTAATGAAACCTAATTTTTGAAGCCGCCCAAACAGAAACTTAAGAGGAGAAAATAAATGTTTTATTATTGTTGGAACATCGTTTGTTTAGAGGTTCTAGTGCCACCTGTTAATATAAGACACACGCACACACAGGTAGAGCAGATCCTTTTTTTTTGTTTTCAAACACAGTGTAATAAATTATTTTAACTTAGTTTTTTTAATGATTTTTCCATCAGTTGAATAAAAAATTCTCAATAAAATGTCTTCAAATTCTTTGATTTTTTTCAGCAACTATTAAAAAAATATATACTGTATTAAGCAGATCTTATTAAACTAAAAGCTGAAATATAGATGTACTCCATAACAAGTAAAAGTACTCATGATACAAAAATGTGTGTTACAGTATATAAAGTATATATATATGGATAGGTTTAACTAATGCATTAATGTGTAAGCAGTGATTTGCTGTTGTTTGTTGTTGGATCTTCTTTTATCCTGTTTCAGGTTTTATGAAGTGATGGTAAGTTTTGCTTGAAAAATTAACAATTAAAGAAATATGTGCATAAGAAATTTTGCATTTACAAAGCACTATTGGACAATCTTGTTGGCTCTTAATGTGCTTTTTTAAGCCCCCCCAAAAAAACAGCTGTGCACATAATATGCAGGAGCATTGAAGGCAGTCCAGTAAAATAACACTACTAACTTTGGCTTTAAAGAACAGATTGAAGAAGGATGTTAGGACTCACATGTCAGTAAAGTTCAGTGAATGTCTCGCATAGCTGTGCATCATCATCTGTCCACAGACAAAGAGAAATAAACAAGAGCCTAAGCATTCTGCTCAAAACTGCCTTTGTGTTAGTTCCAGCAACTGTAGGTGCCTCCCAGATCCTGCTAAGCCATTAAGAGACACAAAGGCAGAGTCTCGTGGCAAAAACAATGCAGATACATTGTCGCTGCTGGTAATAAAAACCTCTCTATTTGCCAAATGTCAACAGAGCTATGGACAAGCATCAGAAAGATAGTATTTCTTTCTGGGCTATTTCGTTTCATGTTGTGTAGCTGTAGAAATGAAAACATTTTTTCTAATCTGTGGTCATATAAATGCTTTGTCCTGCCTCCAGATTTGTGAAAATGTCTCGAATCATCTGATGTGTTCAAGCATGTGTTTCTGTGTGTGTGTGTCCGTGTGAGCCTGTCTGTGTACAGACCGAGAAAACAGAGAGCCCTTGACTCCCCATCTTGACAAAGTTGGGTAATTAACGACAGAGCCTATTAAAGGGAGAATATTCAGCCAGTGATAAATGGCTTTAATAACAGGCCCATGTTCTCTCTAACAGAGATAGATCCTGCCGCCACAGTCTCCCTGCCCACCAGATAAAACTACCCATACTCCCATCTCACCACCCTCTTCATCTTGCCTTTTCCCATCGGCAGTCTCGCTCTTTTTCTGTTTTCTCTGGCTTTGTGGTTTCTTTCTCGCTAACTTTTAAATCATTTTTTCTTCTATCTCAAAGACTCACATTGCTCTGTCGGACAATGCAGCTTTCCGTGAGCTCTGCTTGCAATTTCAGGCTGAAGCCAAGTCAAAGCAATCGTATCAAACAAGCTCGAATGTTTTTCATGTGCGCACAACAGGCATTCTGTGCATCCTCCACATTACGCGGAGCTCTACGATATTTAATAAGCTCAACCAGGTCATCTACCTGCATGCATGTTTGTGTTGCTGCAGTTGCGCTTATGCATGTTTGTCTTGTAAAACATCGTTAGCCTCTTTGTGTAGGGGCCATGCAAATTGGACAGTTAAAAAACGCCAGGGCCGATTTATGTTCCAGTGCAGCCCTTTAACAGGGGCTGTGCTACGGCTTTATGTGTCCTGGTGGGTTTAGGGGCAAGGACTGACCACAGGGGTCACATTCGTCAAAGCCCCCGTATTGTGAGATTGGTCCAGATGTCGGTCCTCATTAGAACAGGCCACGCTGAAAGAGAGGAAATTCAAATGGGTGAGAGTTAAGCAGTCCCACTCCCATCCACAAGGCTGAAAATGTGATGATTGTTGATTGTTTTCTATGCATTTCAGCTCCCTTTAAGTACAGAAAAAAACATTCTTAGCCAAAAATGGATTGTACCAGTTTTGTCTGTTTTATTTGTCAACTTTTGTGATATATACCTGTGGATGAACAGAATTTCAATTTCAAAATTGTGTTTCACAGTGCCCCTATTAGTCTGGATGATCCACATGCCTCACTCAAACTCCTTTTCCTGCAGAGGTGCTTATGAAAAAATGACAGGGTTTTGTGATTTGCACACTGTAAAGGAAAAATCCTGAAATACATAGTCTGAGATAGAAGTATAAACTATTTGCCATTGAAATGAAATTTAAATATGAAAGTGATTTTAAGGGGAAATGGATGTGTTACAACTTTTTAAAAATTATCTAAATACTGCGGTTCTGTAAGGTCAAGGGAAAAGAAAAAAATCATTTGGTTTAAAAAAAAATCTTCTTTTTATGTAAAGTAATATCAACGTAAGGTCAGGAAGGTACGCATGATGCATGTATAATACTTTTAGACTCACTGGACTCTAAAAGTTTGGCTTCAGGTTTGGGTCCTGTTAAGCACACACTCTTTGTCTCTCTCTTACACACACACACACAGATATTACTTGACATGTCCCTCTCCAAAGTCCCCCCTGCGTGTGAAGGGTTCTTCATACAGAGGTTGTAGCATCAGGCACTTTCTGTCTCACAGAACTAAAGGCAGCAGGTCCATTAAATACACATGAGAGTCTAATTAGGGCCCCCTTTGTGCAGCTGACTTGGAGGTAGGAGTCATTGGGGAGCAACTGTGCCAGGACCCTGACACCCAGAGAACACACTGTGCAAATTAATAGAGAATGACCGAGGAGTAGCTCTGTGACTGACTGGGACCTCTGCTTCCTTGGAGGCAAAAATGTTCAGAGCTGATTGCTCTCATTAAATTTGTTATAGTGATATAATTATGATAATATGCCTGCGAAATGTGATGACTCTTAGTGTGTGGTGAGTTTGCGTACCATGGTAAATTTAATATGAATGTTTAATATTTATATGGTCCATGTGACCTTTAAATTAAACCAGGGAGAAAATATTGTCAAACTGTGTGTTTTTAGTTTGTAGCCTCAATTTTACGAACTTTCAGCGGTCATTAAAAAAAACAACACGATATCTTTGTTGTCTCGATGTGACTAATCGTCACCCCCTTTGAGCAAAATTAAAATAACTGATCATTTTGCCTATTTGCTCCGAAATTCAAACAGGAAAGGGGATTCAGCTAGCTTTCCTATTATAATTAGGTTGATAATAATGTTGAGTGAATTATTGCACTTTTGTTATTCAGGGGGAAAGTCTTTCCTCTGCTGTATCACATGAGATATTGGTGTGGACATAATTCTTATTCTGGCAGCAGCACATTGACTGATATTATTTAAATTACACCTCCTTGGGCTAAGTATTCGGAAATACTTTGCAGGGAATTCATCACCAAACGGTGTTGAGAATAAAAGGGACATCGACTCTTGATTACACTGACAAAAATGGCTTTTTTTTCCAAAGGGAAATGACTAATGTTGTTAAGGACAGACGCAGGTATACTGCACGCTAAACACTGGTTGAATTTAATCTATAGATGATAAATGAAAGGAAATTGAATGTGGCATTCCTGGCACAAAGCAGAATAGGCCTATGATCTCAAAATAAGTGTAAGATGTAAACTACTTGTTACCAAAGTATTTGCTACCCCTACATCCCTATTTCATTTAAACACCTTTAACAAGTGTAAAAAAAAATAAGAAAAGTTTAGTGAAATTGCCCATAAAAAGCCTCACCTGATTAAATTTGGACGATCTTCCCTTCAATCTTGTCTCTAACTGCATGACTGCTATATTTCTAAAGCACACCACACCACTACACCAGTCACATCAGTTTCTGCAACCTCTGTCCCTATCCTGGGTCAGCCCGTCTTTTCCTGCACCTGGAACGTCTCTCTCTCTGTGCTGTTGGTATTTTTCCTCTTAACGCCAGGACTTGAGAGTGCTGTTTTTAAGGCAGAGCCTTATGAGGTCCATTTAAGTGACGACCTATACTTGTGCTTAGCTTCTGCTGAAACCTCTCTGCTAGGTCTCTGTTATCAGTCAGTGCGACTGCCTCCTAGTCTCAATTAGTCATTCTCATTATTGCTTCGCTGACTCTCCTGATCCTGATGCAGGTCCCATCTGAGCTGTGTTTCCAGTACTTCTTCCCTGTCTAATACCTCCCACTTTAATACCTAATACTTTTTCACCAATATGGTGGTGATGCCAGTGTTGATCTGGTTCTGACTTGGCGCCTTATGAGATCTGGCTCAATTTTACTATATTTGAAAACCAACTGGGTCATTTACATGCAAAGACAAATTACAGTAGACCGAATCCATTGGTTACATCTTCAAATCGTTGGTGACTTTTTTATTGTAGCACCTCCTGTGGCCAATGATGTCAGTGAAACAGATCGGCTTTTTAGTTTTCTTTGGAAATATATGGAACTACCTGTACATTAGACACTACATTGGTGGAAATGAGGTACTAATAGATCAGCCCATCTCTGATCAGCCTGCCTCAGTCTGCCTTCAGGCTCAAGGCCATCAGCTGAACCAGCCTTGCATCCCTCTAGGTTGGCTTCTGGTCCTCACCTGAGCAGGAGATCCCCCATCCCTCTTCCCTGTCTTCCTGAACTTTGCATGATATCAGTTTGTTCTCTCTGAAGTCTTACTGGCATCTGCACCTGGGTTTATGTGGGTGAGGGAAATACCGTCTGGTCAGTAAAATTAACCCTGTGCATGTAGACAGACATTCCCTCTTCAGCCAAACAGCCATGAGCTGCCAACAGAACAAAGGTTTACGCCATCCCATGGAGCACCTGAGGGACCAAATCCTCCACAACCTGCATAGTCTCACTCACATCATGGGGTGACAAGATCCAGCAAAACTTCAAAGACAATGCTGGAAACATTAGTAATGTAATATCAAACTTAAAAAGTAAACATATGAAAACAATGCAGGTTACAGGTTTGCCATTTAGTATGTATACAAAAATATTTCATTTGAATTCAACTTTCCAACACTGTTTCTACAGTCAGAGGTCAAAGAAGGCTGAGGGTCAGCGG